TGTGGTATATGTAAACACATATGCATGCATGTTGTAAGTGGTATATGTAAATGCATATGCATGCATGTTGTAAGCGGTATATGTAAACACATATGCATGCCTGTTGTAAGTGGTATATGTAAAAACATATGCACGCATGTTGTAAGTGGTATATGTAAACACATATGCATGCATGTTGTAAGTGGTATATGTAAATGCATATGCATGCATGTTGTAAGCGGTATATGTAAACACATATGAATGCCTGTTGTAAGTGGTATATGTAAATGCATATGCATGCTTGTTCTAAGTGGTATATGTAAACGCATGTGCATGCATGTTGTAAGTGGTATATGTAAACACATATGCATGCCAGTTCTAAGTGGTATGTGGAAATGCATATCTATGCATGTTCTAAGTGATATTTGTAAACACATATGCATACTTGTTTTTAGAGGTATGTGTAAATGCATATTCATGCATGTTCTGAGTGGTGTATGTAAATACATCTGCACGCCTGTTGTAAATACGGTAAACAGCGGATAGCATAAACAGTAGCGAGTCTACATATCTCAGTGACGTGACTGCGATCTTTGGCAATACACTGTTTCTGAGTCCATTAGCTACACTTCTTGATATTCCGTTCCTATTTTTATGGCTCGATTGGTGGACGTTGCTGACCATAAGTCCCAATATCTTTGTTTGCCAGTTTAGTTTCTGGTCACCCCAGTCCCAGTTACCTCTTTTTTTTGGTCACCATTGTCCCAATTATCCCTTTTTTTAGTCACCTCGGTCCCAAACCATTTTGTTTGGTCACCCGTGTCCCAATTAACCCTTTTTTCGGTCACCGCGGTCCTATCCTCAGCAACGCCACTCAAGTGAACAACGGAGACACGTTCTTTGCCATCATGGAAGTGTACCACTGGGCCCTGGGAGAACAGGACATCACACTCTACTACGAGGTGCTCACATCACTGTGGAAGCTGGATGAGAGGAACCACCTGTTCAAGGGCCAGGAGTTCATGCTAAAGTGCAGGGAGAGCTTCGCCTCCCGTCTGATGAACGTACTTGTAGGTAGGTGTATATGTATTGTGCTTGTAGGTAGGTGCATATGCAACGTGCTTGTAAGTAGGTGCATATATAATGTGCTTGTAGGTAGGTGCATATGTAGTGTGCTTGTAGGTAGGTGCATATGTAGTGTTCTTATAGATAGGTGCATATGTAGTGTGCTTGTAGGTAGGTGCATATGTAGTGTGCTTGTAGGTAGGTGCA